CACTTTTTGGCATTTAAGATTTATATATATACTTTAAGCTCTGGGATACATGTGAAGAACATGCAGGTTTGTTACATAGATATACACATGCCATGGCGGTTTGCTGCACCTATCAACCTGTTATCTACATTAGGTATTTCTCCTAATGCTATCTTTCCCCCAGCCCCCACCCCGTCAGGCCCCGGTGTGTGATGTGTTCCCTCCCTGTGTCCATGTGTTCTCATTGTTCAACTCCCACTTATGAATGAAAACATGCCGTGTTTAGTTTTGTTTCTGTGTTAGTTTGCTGAGAATGATGGTTTCCAGCTTCATCCACATCCCTGCAACGACATGAACTCATCCTTTTTATGGGTGCACAGTATTCCGTGGTGTATATGTGCCACATTTTCTTTATCCAGTCCATCATTGATGGACATTTGGGTTGGTTCCAAGTCTTTTCTATTGTAAATAGTGCTGCAATAAACATATGTCTGCATGTGTCTTTATAGTAGAATGATTTATAATCCTATGGGTATATACCCAGTAACAGAATTGCTGAGTCAAATGGTATTTCTGGTTCTAGATCCTTGAGGAATTGTCACACTGTCTTCCACAATGGTTGAACTAATTTACACTCCCACCAACAGTGTAAAAGTATTCCTATTTCTCCACATCCTCTCCAGTATCTGTTGTTTCCTGACTTTTTAATGACCACCATTCTAACTGGTGTGAGATGGTATATCTCACTGTGGTTTTGATTTGCATTTCTCTAATGACCAGTAATGATGAGCTTTTCTTCATATGTTTTTTGGCCACATAAATGTCTTCTTTTGAGAAGTGTCTGTGCATATCCCTTGCCCACTTTTTGGTAAGTTTTTTGATGTAAATTTGTTTAAGTTCCTTGTAGATTCTCAATATTAGACGTTTGAGATGGATAGACTTAGGTTTAAGTCTTTAATCCATCTTGAGCTAATTTTTGTATAAGGAAGGGATCCAGTTTCAGTTTTCTGCATATGGCTAGCCAGTTTCCCCAACACCATTTATTAAATAGGGAATACTTTCCCCATTGCTTGTTTTTGTCAGGTTTGTCAAAGATCAGAAGGTTGTAGATGTGTGGCATTTTTTTCTGAGGCCTCCGTTCTGTTCCATTAGTCTATATACCGTTCTGGTACCAGTACCATGCTGTTTTGGTTAGTGTAGTATAGTTTGAAGTCAGGTTGCATGATGCCTACATCTTTGTCCATTTTGCTTAGGATTGTTTTGGCTATACTAGCTGTGTTTTGGTTCCATATGACATTTAAAGTAACTTTTTCTAATTTTGTGAAGAAAGTCAATGGTAGCTTAAAGGGGATAGCATTGAATCTATAAATTACTTTGGGCAGCATGGCCATTTTCATGATATTGACTCTTCCTATCCATGATCATGGAATATTTTTCCATTTCTTTGTGTCCTTTCTTATTTCCTTGAGCAGTGAGTGGCTTGTAGTTCTCCTTGAAGAGATTCTTCACATCCCGTGTAAGTTGTATTCCTAGGTATTTTATTCTTTGTAGTAATTGTGAATGAGAGTTTACTCATGATTTGGCTCTCTATTATTGGCGTATACAAATGCTTGTGATTTTTGCACATTGATTTTGTATCCCAAGACTTTGCTGAAGTTGTTTATCAGCTTAAGGAGTTTTTGGGCTGAGAAGATGGGGTTTTCTAAATATACAATCATGTCATCTCCAAACAGAGACAATTTTACTTCCTCTCTTCCTATTTGAATACATTTTCTTTCTTTCTCTTGCCTGGCCAGAACTTCCAATGCTATGTTGGATAGGAGTGGTAAGAGAGGGCACCCTTGTCTTGTGCTGGTTTTCAAAGGGAATGCTTCCAGCTTGTGGCCATTCAGTATGATATCGGCTGTGTCTGTCATAAATAGCTCTTATTTTGAGGTATGTTCCATCAATACCTAGCTAATTGAGAGTTTCTAGCATCAAGGGGTGTTGAATTTCATGGAAGGCCTTTTCTGCATCTATTGAGATAATCATGTGGTTTTTGTCACTGGTTCTGTTTATGTGATGGATTACATTGATTTGTGTATGTTGAACCAGGCTTGCATCCAAGAAATGAAGCCAACTTGATCGTGGTGGATAAGCTTTTTGGTGTGCTGCTGGATTCGGTTTGCCAGTATTTTATTGAGGATTTTTGCACTGATGTTCATCAGGGATATTGATCTGAAGTTTTCTTTTTCTGTTGTGTCTCTGCCAGGTTTTGGTAACAGGATGATGCTGGCCTCATAAAATGAGTTAGGGAGGAGTCCCTCTTTTTCTATTGTTTGGAATAGTTTCAGAAGGAATGGCATCAGCTCCTCTGTATCTCTGGTAGAATTCAGCTGTGAATCTGTCTGGTCCTGGGCTCTTTTTGGTTGGCAGGCTATTATTTACTGCCTCAACTTCAGAACTTGTTATTGGTCTATTTAGGGATTTGACTTCTTCCTGATTTAGTCTTGGGAGGGTGAATGTGCCCAGGAATTTACCCATTTCTTCTAGTTTACTTGTGTAAAGGTGTTTACAGTATTCTCTGATGGTAGTTTGTATTTCTGTGGGATCAGTGGTGATATCCCCTTTATCATTTTTTATTGTGTCTATTTGATTCTTCTCTCTTTTCTTCTCTATTAGTCCAGCTAGAAGTTGATCTATTTTGTTAATTTTTTATTAAAAAAAAAAAAAAACAGCTCCTGGATTCATTGATTTTTTTGAAGTGTTTTTCGTGTCTCTATCTCCTTCAGTTCTGCTCTGGTCTTGGTTATTTCTCATCTTCTGCTAGCTTTTGAATTTGTTTGCTCTTGCTGCTTTAGTTCTTTTAATTGTGATGTTAGGGTGTTGATTTCAGATAATTCCTGCTTTCTCTTGTGGGCATTTAGTGGGTATTTCCCTCTAAACACTGCTTTAGCTGTACCCCAGAGATTCTGGTACATTGTGTCTTTGTTCTCATTGGTTTCAAAGAATTTATTTATTTCTGTCTTAATTTCATGATTTACCCAGTAGTCATTTAGGAACAGGTTGCTCAGTTTCCATGTAGTTGTACAGTTTTGAGTGAGATTCTTAATCCTGAGCTCTCATTTGATTGCACTGAGGTCTGAGAAACTGTTTATGATTTCTGTTCTTTTGCATTCACTGAGGAGTGAATTTTACTTCCAATTATATGGTCAGTTTTAGAGTAACTGTGACATAGTGCTGGGAAGAATGTATATTCTGTTGATTTGGGGTGGAAAGTTCTGTAGATGTCTATTAGGTCTGCTTGGTCCAGAGCTGAGTTCAAGTCCTGAATATTCTTAATTTTCTTTCTTGTTGATACAATATTGACACTGAGGTGTTAAAAATCTCCCACTACTTTTGTGTGGGAGTCTCAGTCTCTTTGTACATCTCTGAGAAGTTGCTTTATGAATCTGGATGCTCCTGTATTGGGTGCATATATATTTAGGATAGTTAGCTCTTCTTGTTGCATTGATCCCTTTGCCATTACATAATACCCTTCTTTGCCTTTATCTTTGTTGGCTTCAAGTCTGTTTTATTAAAGCCTAGGACTGCAACCCCTGCTTTTTTTTTTTTTTTTTTTCTTTCTATTTGCTTGGTAAATATTCTTCCATCCCTTTATTTTAACCCTATATGTGTTTTTGCATGAGACAGGTCTCCTGAATACTGCACACCAATGGATCTTGACTCTTTATCAAATTTGCCAGTCTGTATCTTTTAACTGGGGCATTTAGCCTGTTTACATTTGAGGTTAATATTGAAATGTGTGAATCTGATCCTGTCATTATGCTAGCTGGTTATTTTGCCCATTAGTTGATGCAGTTTCTTCATACTGTCGATGATCTTTATAATTTGGTATGTTTTTGCGGTGGCTGGTACTGGTTTTTCCTTTCCATATTAGTGCTGCCTTCAGGACCTCTTGCAAGACAGGCAGCTCTTTTAAGCAAATCCCTCAGCATTTGCTTGTCTGGAAAGGATTTTATTTCTCCTTCACTTAAAAAGCTTAGTTTGACTGGATATAAAATTCTGGGCTAAAAAATTCTTTTCTTTAAGAATGTTGAATATTGGCCCCCACTCTCTTCTGTCTTGTAGGGTTTCTGCAGAGTGATCTGCTGCTAGTCTGATGGGCTTCACTTTGTGGGTAACCCAAACTTTCTCTCTTGCTTCCCTTAACAATTTTTCCTTCATTTCAACCTTGATGAATCTGACAATTGTGTCTTGGGGTTGCTCTTCTCGAGGACTATCTTTGTGGTGTTCTCTGTATTTCCTGAATTTTAATGTTGGCCTGTCTTGCTAGGTTGGGGAAGTTCTCCTGGATAATATCCTGAAGAGTCTGTCCCAACTTGGTTCCATTCTCCCTTTCACTTTCAGGTACACCAATCAAACATAGATTTGGTGTTTTCACATAGTGCCATATTTCTTGGAGACTTGTTCATTCCTTTTCATTCTTTCTTCTCCAATCTTGTCTTTATGCTTTATTTGATTAAGTTGATCTTCAATCTCTGATATCCTTTCTTTCACTTGATTGATTCAGCTATTGATACTTGTGTATGCTTCACAAAGTTCTTGTGCTATATTTTTCATCTCCATCAGGTTATTTATGTTCTTTTCTAAATTGGTTATTCTAATTAGCAATTCCTCTAAGCTTTTTTCAGGGCTCTTAGCTTTCTTGCATTGGGTTAGAACATGTTCCTTTAGCTTGAAGGAGTTTGTTACTACCCACCTTCTGAATCCTACTTCTGTCAGTTCGTCAAACTCATTCTCTGTCCAGTTTTGTTCCCTTGCTGGTGATGAGTTGTGATCCTTTGGAAGAGAAGAGGTGTTCTGGTTTTTGGAATTTTCAGTCTTTTTGCACTGGTTTTTCCTCATCTTCATGGCTTTTTCTACCTTTGGTCTTTGATGTTGGTCACCTTCAGATGGGGTTTCTGTGTGGATGTCCTTTTTGTTGACTCTGACACTATTCCTTTCAGTTTGTTAGTTTTCCTTCTAACAGGCCCCTCCACTGCAGGTCTGCTGGAGTTTGCTGGAGGTCTACTCCAGGCCCTGTTTGCCTGGGTATCACCAGTGACGGGTGCAGAACTGCAAAGATTACTGCTTATTCCTTCCTCTGGAACTTTTGCCTCAGAGAGGCACCCACCAGATGCGAGCCAGAGCTGTCCTGCATGAGGTGTCTGTCAACCCCTGCTGGGAGGTGTCTCCCAGTCAGGAGGCATGGGGGTCATGGACCCACGTGAGGAGGCAGTCTGTCCCTTAGCAGAGCTTGAACACTGTGCTGGGAAATCTGCTGCTCCAGAGCTGGCAGGCAAGAACATTTAAGTTAACTGAAGCTGCACCTATAGCCACCCCTTCCCCCCAGGTGCTCTGTCCCAGGGAAATGGAAGTTTTATCTATAAACCTTTGACTTGACTACTCCCTTTCTTTCAGAGATGCCCTGCTCAGAGAGAGTAATCTAGAGAGGCAGTCTGGCTACAGTAGCTATGCAGAGCTGCAGTGGACTCCACCCAGTTTGAGCTTCTCTGTGCCTTGTTTATACTGTGAGGGGAAAACTGCCTACTCAAGCCTCAGTAATGGTGGCCACTCCTCCCCCCACCAAACTTGAGCATCCCAGGTCAACTTCAGACTGCTGTGGGGGCAGCGAGAATTTCAAGCAAGTGGATCTTAGCTTACTGGGCTGTGTGGGTGGGATCCACTGAGCTAGACCATTTGCCTCCCTGGTTTCAGCTCCCTTTCTAGGAGAGTGAACAGTTCTGTCTCACTGGTATTCCAGGTGCCACTGGAGTATGAAAAAAAACTCCTAAGGCTAGCTCAGTGTCTGCCCAAATGACCACCCAGTTTTGTGCTTGAAACCCAGGGCCTTGGTGCTATAGACACCTGAGGGAAACTCCTGGTCTCTGGGTTGTGAAAAACATGGGAAAAGCATAGCATCTGGGCTGGAGTGCACCATTCCTCACCGCTTCCCTTGGCTAGGGGAGGAAGTTTCCTGAGCCCTTGCACTTCCCAAGTGAGACACTGCCCCACCCTGCTTCAGCTGGCCCTCTGTGGGCTGCACCCACTGTCTAACCAGTCCCAATGAGATGAGCCATTGGAAATGCAGAAATCACCCACCTTCTGCATTGATCTCACTGGGAGCTGCAGAGTAGAGCTGTTCCTATCTGGCCATCTTGCTAGCCCATGGCAATTAAGATTTATCTTCATACAGAATCCAAGTATATCTGTCTGCATATTCTACATATGTGCTCTGGGGCTAATCCTCAGCACCACAGAGAAAAAATATAATCAATTGCTTTAATTCATTAGTTCCTCCTTTCTTCCTTCAATAACTTCAATTATGCATTCAATACAGATCAAATTAAGTACTCAGCACCACAGCTGGGCTTGAAAATGCAAAAATAATTTTTAAAAATCAGTCTTAAAAAAGGACGAGTTCATGTCCTTTGCAAAGACATGGATGAAGCTGGAAACCATCAATCTCAGCAAACTGACACAAGAACAGAAAACGAAACGCCGCATGTTGTCACTCATAAGTGGAAGTCGAACAACGAGAACACATGGACACAGGGAAGGGAACAGCACACACGGGGGCCTGTTGTGGGGTGGGAGAGCTAGGGGATGGATAGCAGGGGATGGGGGGATTGGGGAGGGATAACATTAGGGGAAACACCTAATGTAGATGACGGGGGGATCGATGCAGCAAACCACCATGGCATGTGTAAACCTATGTAACAATCCTGCACAATCTGTACATGTACCCCAGAACTTAAAATATAATAATAATTTTTTTTAAATCAGTCTTTGCTTACTTAGCCATCCTAGTGGATAGGAAGTGGTATCTCACTGTGGTTTTGATTTGCATTTCCCTAATAATTAGTGATGTTGAGCATCTTTTCATGTATTTATTGGCCATCTGTATATCTTTTTTGAGAAAATTTCTATTCAAATTATTTGTCCACTTTTAAATTGGGTTTTTTTTTTATTGTTGAGTTGTAACAGTTCTCTATATATTCTTGATACAAGATCAGATATGTGATTTGCAAATACCTGCTACCTGCTCCCTACCCCCACCTACCTATTCTGGAGTCTGTCTGCACCTTCTCAACAGTGTCCTGTAAAACACAGAATTTTACAATTTTGATGAAGTCCGATATATATTTGCAACCACTATATCAAATTTGTCTTTGATTCTGTATGCTTTTCATGTCATATATGAGAGACTATTACCTGCCCAAGGTCAATAAGATTTAGTCCAATATTTCCGTCTACTAGTTTAGTAATTTGAGTCTTCTTTATTTTTTTATTGGCCAATCTAGCCAAAGGTTTATATATTTTGTTGATTTTTTAAAAGGTCAACTTTTGATTTTACTTATTTTTTTTTTTACTGTGTTTCTATTCTCTACTTAATTTACTTCTGCTCTAGTCTTTATTTCCTTCTCTCTGCTTGCTTTGGCTCAAGTTAGCTCTTCTTTTCCAATTTCCTAGGGTAAAAGATTATGTTTTAATTTGATATTTTTCTCCTTTTTAAATATAAGTGTTTACATCCATAAATTTTCCTCTAAGTGCTGTTTTAGCTAGATCCTTTAAGTTTTGGTATATTGTATTTTCATTTACACTCATCTCAACATACTTTCTAATTTCTCTTGTTATTCCTTCTTTGACCCACTGGTTATAGAAGAGTATGTTAATGAATTTCCACGTATTAGTGAATCTCCCAAATTTTCTTCTGTTATTGATTTCTAATTTATACTGTTGTAGTTAAAACATACTTTATATAATTTCAACTTTTTAAAATTTATTGAGACTTATTTTATGGCCTGACATGTGATCTGGACTGACTAAAGAATGTTCCAGATTGGTTGCAGTGACTCATGCCTATAATTCCATATCTGGGAAGCCAAGTGGGAGGATTGAGGCCAAGAGTTCAAGACCAGTCTGGGCAACATAGTGAGACCTAGTCTCTACAAAAATTAAAAAATTGGCCAACCATGGTGGTGCACACCTGTAGTCCCAGATATTTGGGAGGCTAGAGCAGGAGGATTGCTTGAGGCCAGGACTTTGAAGCTGTAGTGAACTGTGATCACGCCACTGCATTCCAGCCTAGACCACAAAGCAATATCCTGTCCAGAAAAAAAAAAAAAAAAAGAAAAGAGAAGAAAAGAAAGAAAGGGAGAAAAGAATTTCAAATGTGTATTTGAGAAGAATGTGCACTACACTGTTGGGTAGAGTGTTTTATAGATGTCTATTAGCCTAGTTGGTTTATAGTGTTATTGAAGTCTTCTAGTTCCTCACTGATCATCTACCTACACGTTGTATCCATTTTTCAAAGTTAGGTATTGCCACCTCCAATTATTGTTGAATTGTCTTGTTTCCCTTTAATTCTACTGCATTTTGCCTCATTTATTTTGAGGCTCTGCTCTTAGGTGCATACGTCTATAACTGTTATGTCTTTTTGATGGACTTACCCTTTTAATATAAAATGTTCTTCTTGGTCTCTAGTAACAGTTTTTGTCTCTAAGTCTATTTTGTCTAATACTAGTACAGCCTCTCCAGTTCTATTTTGGAGAATTGTTGTATTCTAAATCTTCTTCCATCTTTTCACTTTCAACCTTTTTGTTTCTCTGAATATAAATTTGTCTCATAGATAGCATATAGTTGGATTATGTTATTTTATTCATTCTGTTAATTTGACTATAGTGCCCATTTCATTTATTGGAATTACTGATGAGATTTACATTTGCCATTTTGCTGTTTTCTGTATATGCTTTTATGTTCCTCTGTCCTTTCACTACTGCCTTCTTTTGTGTTAAATAGTTTTCTAGAGTACCATTTTAATCCCCTTGTTAGTTATTTTACCACTATATTTTAGTTCTTTTATTAGTATTTGCCCTGGGGAATGCAATTAACATATTAGCTTAAATCAATCTAGCTCAGAGTAATATTGACTTAATTTCAATAATATATAGAAATGCTATTCCTCTCCTTTTATTATTATTGGCATTCAAAGCATATATTTATACATCATAAAATATATAATTATAACTATTGTTTTATGTAGTTGTCTTCTGAATCAGAGAGAAGAAAAAGGTTACAAACAAAAATATATTTATACTGACTTTTACATTTACCTGTAGAGTTATCTTTACCAGTACTCTATTTATCTGTGTGGATTCAAGTTACTATTTAGTGTCCTGTCATTTCAACCTAAAGAACCCCTTTTAATATTTCTTGTAGGGCATGTCTGCTAGTGAAAAATTCTCTGTTTTTGTCTACATGAGAATGTTTTAAATTCACCTTAATTTTTGAAGACTAGATTTGCTGAATATACAACTCCGAGTTTACAGTCTTTTTGTTTTAGCAGTTTGAATATATCATCCCACTGCCTTCTGTAGTATCCACAGTTTCAAACGAAAAGAAAGCTGTTAATTTTATTGAACATGCCTTACTGCCTTCTCTTTCTATTTTCAAGATTCTCTTTCTTTTTTCTTATTTATTTATTTATTTATTTATTTATTTTTTGAGAAAAGGTCTGGCTCCATTGCACACCCTGGAGTACAGTGGCACAATCCTGGCTCACCACAACCTCCATCTCCTGTGCTCAAGCCATCCTCCCACCTCAGCCTCCTGAATAGCTGGAACTACAGGTATGCACCACCACACCTGGCTGATTTTTGTATTTTTTGTAGAGACGGGGTTTCTCCATGTTGCCCAGGCTGGTCTCAAACTTGCAAGGTCATGTAATCTGCCCACCGCAGCCTCCCAAAGTGCTGGGATTACAGGCATGAGCCAATGTGCCCAGCCAAGATTCTCTCTTGATATTTGGCTTTCAATAGTTTGACTATGATGTGTCTCTTTTAGTTTATCCTACTTGGAGGTCACTGAGTTTCTCAGATGTGCAGATTAGTGGTTTTGATCCAATTTGTAGTTTCTTGCCATAATATCTTCAAATATTCTGTCTGCCCCTTTCTTTTTCTTCTCATCTTTTGGGATTCTCCTCATGCATATATTGATATACTTGATGGTTTCTCACAAGTCTGTATGGCTCTGCTCATTTTTCTATATTCTTTTTTCTTCCTGTTCCTTAGACTGGGTGATCTTAAGTTCACTGATTCTTTATTTTGCAAGTTCAAAAATGATGATGAGTCCTTTTAGGGAATTTTTTTTAATTTTCTTTTATTTTAGTGAATTTTATATTTCAGTTATTGTATTTTTCAATCAGATTATCTATTTGGTTTGTAAAATAATTTATATCTTTTAATTGATATTTTCTATTAAGTAAGACATCATTATCAAACTTTAATTCTTTAGACATAGTCGTCGTTAGTTCTTTGAAAATATTTATAACAGTTGGCTTAATGTCTTTACTTAGTAAGTTCAATATCTAGGTGTCTAGTCTGTTTTTCTCTTGCATGCCCTTGTCCCCTCTATAGTCTACTCTTTACAAAGTAATCAGAAGTGATCTTCTGTGATCTCACTCATAGTAAAACCTCAGAATCCTTGCCCTGAACTTCAAGGTTCTGCATGCTCTGTCATCTGGCTACTTCATCTACTAAA